AAGAGATTGAAAGCTGTTACAACAAAGATAATCGCGGAACTTAGACAACCAAACGTTCTAAGAATCCGACTTGCTAGTCTAACCAACTAAGTCCTAAATTCGTCTAAGCTAACATCAGTTTTTCTAGGTCTAAAAAGGTTTCTCCTCCTCTTTGCTTCGACCTTGTGCTTAAATACTCTTCCTCAAGGCGGTTGGTGTTTCCTTTTCCGCCCCGATTCATGCCTATCGGAAATCTTCCATTTATCTCGTTCTTCATATTTATCCTTGGAAAACTTCTACTTTATCTCCAAACTTGACCTTTATCTGTTCCTGCGAATAATGGGTAAACCGTCATCATATCCTTGGGCTGGACTTCATCTAAAATTGTAAGTGGGCCTTTATCGTGTTTTATGACCTTTCGGGCCGATTTGCATCTTAGCTGTTTTACGATTTCAGACGGGATCAAACCACGATACGATGGTGTTTTTATCAAACATTTTAAGTCAATCGTATAGTTTGGTAACTTCCGGTGTTTCGATTATGTACAAGAAAACAAGTCTTTAGCAGTTTTCATCGTAAAGTTCCAACGAGAATACGAATTGAGACGAAACAAAAGATGTTCCGATCACAGTTCAGAGTATGATCGAGTCGAAGGACATATACCTAGTTTTCAGCCAATCAACGGGCGATGGTGTGGATGGTACAACCAGCTCATCGAGCCAACGAGCCGGTCTTGGTCAGCTCGCCAAGCCGGCAAGCTGGATTGGTCTGTCCAGCTCGCCGCCTTGGCGAGCTGTTCGTCCGTGGTAAACTCGCCAAGCCGGTGAGCTGGATTGGTCCGTCTAGCTCGCCGTCTTGGCGAGCTGATCGTCCATGGTCAGCTCGCCAAGCCGGCGAGCTGGATTGGTCCGTCCAGCTCGCCGTCTTGGTGTGCTGATCGTTCCTGGTCAGCTTGCCAAGCCGGCGAGCTGGATTGGTCTGTCCAGCTCGATGTCTTGGCGAGCTGATCGTCCATGGTCAGCTCGCCAATCCGGCAAGCTGGATTGGTCCGTCCAGTTCGCCGTCTTGGAGAGATGATCGTTCATGGTCAGCTCGCCAAGCCGGCGAACTGGATTAGTCCGTCCGGCTCGCTGTCTTGGTGAGCTGATCATCTTGGTCAGCTCACCAAGCCGGAGAGCTTGATTGGTCTGTCCAGCTCGCCGTCTTGGCGAGCTGATCGTCCGAGGTCAGCTCGCCTGGCGAGCTGGATTTGTCCGTCCAGCTCGCTGTCTTGGCGAGCAGATCGTCTGTGGTCAGCTCGTCAAGCTGGCGAGCTGGATTGGTCCGTCCAGCTCGCCGTATTGGCGAGCTGATCTTCCGTGGTCAGCTTGCCAAGCCGGCGAGCTAGATTGGTCCGTCCAGCTCGCCGTCTTGGCGAGCTGATCGTCCGTGGTCCTCTCGCCAAGACGGCGAGCTGGATTGGTCCAACCAGCTCGCCGTCTTGGCGAGCTGATCGTCCTTGGTCAGCTCCGATCGTTTCTTGTCTTCTCGACTCGAGTTCCTTTCGGAGAACATAAGGAGAAGTAATCGTAGATGTTGATTTCAGGATTACCATTTTTGACCCCAATACACTATAGCAAAGCATGTGAGTTCAAAGGGGAAGAGGAGCGCCGGTTTGAATCGTGTGGTTGGAGAGGCTCGCATGCTTGATGCCTTTGGCATCTTTGACAAGATGCCTTGCTTTCCTTTCCAGCCTGTCTCGGTCTGTCATGGCAAGCCATATCCTCTCCCAATGGTCATTTCCATAATGAAACCCAAACCTTATGTTTCCTTTAGTGTCTTTACCCATCTTTCCCACAAGTGACCCAATGCATATTTTACCACAGTAACAATAGTGTACAGATTTACCTGTCGGTACACTTTCACCCTAAATATGCACTAGTCCCAAATCTGGTAGATGTTCAATACTAAAATAGAGAAGGTTGGGGTTGATGTGTACGGACGGCCGTACCATCCGTACGGTCCGTACAATCCATACACTCCCCCTAAATCTGCACCATGCTTCTTTCTCTACTTCTTCTTAGACCATACCCTTCCTTAACCTCTTACTTAACTCAAACACAACTCATAACCGAGAAGGGCCTAACATGCGGCTAAATGGACCACTTACAATTTTTGTACGAAACCGAGCCTGAGTTGCTATGACGCTCTTATTTACTCACAGGAGAAGATAAATATTAAAGTCTGGAGGATAAATGTGAAGTTTCAAGGGAAAATGAAATATTTCCGCGAAGCGATAAAATCAACCCGGGGGCAGAAAAGGAAAGGATAAACCGCCTAAGAGGGGACTATCTAAGAAGTGCAGAGGCAAGAGACAAAAAGAGGCACTTTACACATCAAATTTAATACTTAGAGCAATAGGCAATTTTCTGTGTTTGTTATCGAGTTGCGACTCAGTTAGGTTCTCAGTCTTAGGTTGTTAGAACTAGGGATCTCGCCAACAACCCTCGAAGCCAAGGATCTTACCTTCTGTCAACGCTTTAACATAAATTCGCAATAAGAACTTCTTTCTCTCTTTTTGTTTTTATCGATTTACTATGTCGTATGTTTTGCGTTATCTGATTGCTTGACGTTTGGCTTAGCAGAAAGCCGAGAACTTTAGGGAAGTTAGGGTTTCTTATTTTTTTTATTTTATAGAAATCGACTAGAGAATTTTGGTACCCACAACAATCAGAATTTTAATTTGAATCGAGTAAGGTTTAGGGAAATAGTGGAACAGTATTTATGAGTAGATTGGTAAGATAGTTTGCTCGAACAAAACTGAATATATTGACAATGAATTATGATTTATAAAAAGAACAAAGCACAATGTAACACAGTTCGAAAGAGAGTTTTCTAGGTCTAAGGCGAGTAATCAAAACATGTATGTTAATAACAATTTTGGCATTGTCTTTTTATTCCTTAGCTCATTCTACTACTATGTCTATGTGTATCTATGGTGCATTTTCATACCTTGCTTCGGAGATCTCGGTCTCTTGATCAACTGGTTGACCACGAGGTGACCGGGTTTTGATTGTTATATGTAGACTCAGAGCTCGGTACCTCGGGCTGCGAAATATCCCTTTGGGTTAGAATAAATGGTCCTCACTTATTGATCATTTCTTCATTGTCATTTCATTCTGTTTCGACTGGACCTTTATTTGGCCGGATATATGTGATAAACTATTCTTCCACAATATCTGGTGTAGATGCCTTAAGGTAGCCTAGATGTAACAATATTTATTAAGGGATTATTATATTGAAATTGAAGCATAGGTTTAAACCATTGGGTGTTCTAATCTTATTAAGAGCATAGTTATTTTTGGATTTTTAACATTAAAACTCCTCAATTAAGTTTATTTTGGATAAAAACCCTAAATTAAGTATTTAACGAAAATAGCCCAAACTAACTTTATTAAATGAATTTAACCCTTGCCGGTCATAATTACCAGTATTGCTGGTAAATTTTTAGTTTAGGGGTTTTATCACTAAAAATAAAAAATCAAAAAATACAAAATATAACAACATTATCTAAAAATTTGTAATTTTTATTTTCAAAACTACCATTTAAAAAAAACTGTAAATATATGAGTCTGATTTGTTATCCTTTTAAAATCAACATTATATATGTATAAATTAAAATGTAAAAACCCATAAAATATAGCAAAAATAATCTAAAGATTTACCTGTGATAAAAATTATCAAAAAGTTATAAATGTAATAAACAAGAAAACAGAACAGAAATTATATATTATCTAATAAAAATGTAATAATAAATATTTAGATAATTTTTATTATATTATGGTTATTTAAAATTTTAATATATATATATATATATATATAATGTTGATGTTAAAAAAAATCAAACTCATATATTTACATAATTTTTTTAATGCTAATTTTGAAAATTGAAGTTACTTATTTTTAGATAATGTTATATTTTTTTGATAAATTTAATGATAAAACCCTTCTACTATGTTTACTTTATGTAGAAATCTCTAAACTAAAGATTTATCGGTACTAAGGTAATTATGACTGGCGAAATTTTAATTCATTAAATAAAGTTAATATGGGGATTTACTTGTTAGTTTGGGGGTTTTGCCCAAAACAAACTTAGTTGAGGTATTTTAGAGTTAAGAATCCATTTTAAAAGGTTAACAAATCACTCATATTTTTACAGAAATTTTTAAAATGCTAGTTTTGAAAATTAAATTATGAATATTAGATAATATTATTATTTTTTTGATTTTTTATGTTTAATGATAAAACCCATAAACTAAAGATTTACCGGTAGTAGTGGTAATTATGACCAATGAGGGTTTAATTCATTTAATAAAGTTAGTTTGCGGGTTTTTTTGTTTAATACTTAGTTTATGGGTTTTTACCCAAAACAAACTTAGTTGAGGGGTTTTTACGTTAAAAATACTTATTTTTTTCTTAAATATTGTTTCAAGCTTATTGTACATTTAGGCTAGAGGTGGCCATTTTACCCGATACCCTAACCCGTACCCGAACACAAACCGAAATATCCAAACCAAAATTCCAACCGAAGTAGCAAAATATTCGTTGGGTATTGAGTTAGGAGAGATGGATATCCACACCTGAATGGATATCCGAAGATAATCGTACATATTTATATATACACATTTTAGTCCTAACTTATTTATCTTATTTTCTTAAAAATATTTATGTTAATGTAATATATGGCTTAATATCAGATAATATATATATGTAATTGTAAAAAAATGAGTTTCTACTCATTTAAATATATGTTAAGTTTCTTATTTCATGTTTTAACAAAAGTTACATCCAAAATTTAAAATTAGCAACCAGATTAATGATTTTCTATTTTCAATAATTTATTTTCAAACTTATTATTCGTCTAACCTATTAAACATTTTGAGAAATAGTTGATTAATGGTAAAATTTTAAATGCGACAGAGGCAATGACTAACAAAAGGTTTGGGTGTTAATGACAGTTAAATGGACTAGAATACCAAGGGATGGATTTTGAAGAGTTTTGTGCAGCTTCCATCAATGTTCATCAGCATGAGTCACTTGATTGTTGGGAGCAGAGTGTTCGCCATGCTTATGAGCTCTTTAAGATGAATGGAAACAGAGTTATCGTCATCAAAGAACTCGCTTCGGTAAGTTTGTCTTGGTCACGTGGGACTATTTATTCACTATGTTTTCAGCTAAGTGTTAAAGGGAGGTTATACATGTTTTTTTCTGTAGGATCATCGATCCCAGTCCATACCATTCTACATGACTGGATTAGATACACTGATGGGAAGCTAAGCTTCTTAGGTTTTGTCAAACTGTTGCACGGTGTCTCTACTCGACAGTCTTTAGCAAAAACACGGTGAAGGTCTTTTAGATAATTATAAAAGAAGGTAACTATCATCCGATGGTAACTCCACACATGATAATTATTGAATGTTAGGTTAATTAGTTGTAATATGTTAAATCTTAGGGCAATTCTCCTTAATAGACCATTTTCAAGCTTATTCTTCATATGATGTTTGCTAAGTTCCTTTGCTTTTCTTTTATCTGGCAGTGGTTCAAACAGTTGCAGATGATGATGCAAGGAAAAGTCTTTAAACGATGAGTTTGGTTCTGTAAATAGTGTTGACGATGAGCAGGAGGAGTTACGGTCGCAGTGGGGGTTTGGCTGAGAGATTACCAACGTAAAAATATCTGATTCAGAGACATGAATCTTCGGATGAGGCGAGACTCATTAATGTTACTAAACTTAAGGCTGATGAGAGACATTTGTTTGACTTAAAAACTTGACAAACAAATCAAGGCTTATAGCCTTCATTTACTCACAAAGATAAGGAAGAGGATCGATGAGTAAGCCACGTTGCCCATGTCTATTTGTGTTCCTGATTGTAATGTTTTTATCACAACCTTTTAATCCATTGTAACACATGTATCTGCAGGGGTTGTATAGAGTTTTCCAGCTGTGGAAGTAAAATTCTGTGACCATTTCCGGAATGTGAAGTAGTTCTCGGAAATCCTATCCCAACTCTTCGGAATACTATCAAGGGCACATAACCATATGTGTTGATGTAAAAGGGACACCACAATGGTACTGCAGAAAGTTAACCAAGAGACAAATACTACAAGCAAACACTTATGCTTTATTAGAATCTCTTTTAAACAATCTATTACAAGATCTGCTTAATTCAGCTTTTACACGTCTAGTGTTAACACCCTAACACACGCTACTGAAAGATTCCTAAGCTACACCGCCTATGTCTCTCCTTCGTCAAGTACTTCAGCCACTGCTTCAGCACGACCCAAGAACACTTCCAAGAGCTTTTTTCTCTCACTATAAGATTAGTCTCTGTGTCTCTATCTCTCTACAGACGACCCCATAGCTATCTTATAGTTATTCTCCACGTTCTCGAAACCCTAGTCTCCAAGGAACACAATATGAACATTTTCCATATCCATAAGTGCAACTTTCCTTTTCTTGAAATGCACTTATTCCTCTTCCCTTAACTCATAAACTTGCTCTTCAAGTTTATTCCTCTTTCTATATTTCCAAGATACTCTGTTTCTCTCCAAGTCTACACGACTCCAGCTCAGCATCTTGACTCCACATGGTCTTCACCACTCAACACGACGTCTGCTTCAGCAACTACGTCATCAACTACTTCAGGGCAGACATCTTACATCTTCAATCTCCCCCTTTTAGCTTTGTGTGCCGATCAAGCAAAACCTTCTTCTGGTTCAACGACCACGTTTCTTACTTGGAACCTTCCATGCTATTAGTGCTTTTCTCCCCCCACGAGATATGCACCACACCATGCTTTCTCCCCCATGAGATATGCATTCTCTTCCTCAGGACGCCCATACCAAATATGCTTCTCCCCCATAAGATATGCATTCTTTGGACCAGAGCATCTCTTCTCCCCCTGCTTGATTGCATACTAAGCTAAAACACAGATGTTTAGATGTCAAGCCTTCCATCACGATCTGATGCACCTGTCGAGCTACCTCTCGACTCACTTCTGTTGAGGATCTGGTTTCCTTCATGTGTCGTCTTCTTGACCATGAGCCCCTCCCCATCCACATCGAGTGCACTCTGCACTCGTTGCTATTGTCTTGGAGTGATTTCACCATCACTCTCCTGAAGATCATCTCCCATCACTTCTTGACGCACTTTGACCTCCTTCCCTTTTGTGCTACTAACAACCTTCTGTCCAGGCTCCAGACTTGAAGCTTCTTGATCTTCGTCAAGATCACTCCTAACAGAGTTGCATCCTTCTTCTGATGTCTCATCTCTGACCTTATCAAGTAAGCCACTCTTGGCTAAGAACACCTCTTCAACCCTCTTGGGTTTCATGAACGTCTTGTTCACCTTCTTGGCCATGTTTCTGCTCTTCTCACGAGAAAAACACTCCACCTTCTTGTGTCCAACATTCCCACAGAACCAACAGCACATCCTATGTTGCTTTTTCTTGGGCCTGGCACAGTTGCTGATGCACCGATCAGTCTCCTTCCTTATACCAGATGCACAACCATGCTTCAAAACCTCCTGTCTGACCTTCATGTTGCTGCATTGATGTATCACTTTCGGCTTGTTACTCACAGCCCTGCCCTGTAGAACTTCCTGCCGTACTCTTTGCCGCATGTCCCGACGTACTTCCTGATAAGCATCTTTAGCCTTACTTTTTGATATGCCCCTTTGGTCAATCAACTTGAAACAATTACGCCAAACATGTCCTTGAATTCCACAAGAATAACATGTTGGACCATGAGTCCTCATTTCAAATACTCTCTCAATCTGATGCTTTTTCCTCAATAGCTTGAAGCACTTTGGCCTAATATGTCCAATAACTCCACAATGATGACACACAGGTATGAAAGGTCGCTGAGATACATTCTTTACCTCTGAAATTTTTCTTGTAGCAGATGATGAAGCAATTCTTGCTGCAGTTGCAGTCTTCACTGCAGTCTTTGTATATGAAGTAGTCTTTGCATACGTCTTAACTACTGGCTTCATTGCAGACATTGAACCACTCTCTGTTTTTCCTTTTTGAGGTTCACCAGATTTAGCACAAACTTGTCTTGTTTCTTCTTTTCCTACTTGCAAGTCCTTCTGTAGAACTTCAATAAGTGATTCAAGACGTCTCTGCTCCTTCACTAACACCATATTCTCTTTTCCAAGCTTTACTAACATTCCACACACTTGTTCGTAGCACTCTTTGAGTTCATCATCGAGTCCTTCATCATGTTCTTCCTCCTCTGATTCAGAATCTGATTTAGATGATATACTTGCTTCATCTTTGTGTGCACCAAAAGCAACTAAGTTGAGAACTTCATATTTTTCTGATTCATTATCATCTGTCCTTAAGAATGATCCAGCTTTCTTCTGCATCTCATCGTGTCTAGTTTTTCTCCACCTAAAGCCTTTGAATGTTCTTTTCTTGGCCCATGGACACTCCCTTTTGAAATGTCCATATCCTCTGCATTTATAACATTTAACCTCTTTATTACTGCATGGCTCGCCAACTTCTTGCCTTTGTTCTCTAATAGCAACTATCTCATGTCCTTGCCACTGTATCACTTCCCGTAGTACTTGGTGAAGCACGCGAATCATCTTACCCATCTCCTCTTCATTCTCTGATTTTTGACTTTTAGCTTTAGCATCTGCTAGATTGACTTCGGTATGATTGCCCACGCCATCAAGCTCCATCTCATGAGCTTTTAGCATACCCACAACTTCATGAAAGCTGATTTTATCTATGTCAAGAGACACAGACATTGCTGCCTTATAAGCTGTAAATCTTTCTGGTAGACACCTTAGAAACTTCTTCACCAATTTCTTGTCCTTGAATTCCTTGCCCAGAACACGAGCCTCTTGTGCTAATGCACTGAGTTGAGAACTAAAATCTGATATAGATTCATGTTCTTCCATCTTCAAGTTCTCAAATTTTGATTTGAAAAAATCCATCCTTAAACTCTTAACCTTTTCAGTTCCTTCAAAGTGTAATTGCAGAATATCCCAAGCCTCTTTTGCATTCTTGCAGCCTTGAATCAGATCGAGTTGCTTCTTTTCTACTGATGTCAGTATACCACATAAAGCTTTTGCATTATACTTTGACATCTCCTTCTCACGATTTGTCCACTTAGCCAAGGGTTTGTTGACCACAACACCATCTTTATCTACTGTTTTGGGAACTTCATAGCCATCTTCCACTGATGCCCAAACATCCATATTGTGGGAACCGAGATTCACACTTGTCGATTTCCGTAAAATAAGGAAAGTTAGGAAAACCCTAATTTTCCAGAGGAACCGGATCTCTGTGAAAGCCAATGACAAGTAACCAAGAACGCGATTAATATGAATAAATTGAAAGATATAAAAAGAAAAGCGAGATTGAGAGAAAGAAGGATTCTTATTCCGAATTCGCGTAAGAACGGTTACAACGAGAGTTGCCTTAGCTGCGTGAGCCGTCGGCGAAATTCCTAGTTCTAGCAATCTAAGACTAAAACCCTAGTTGAGACGCAACTCGATAACGAAAACGGAAAATTGCCTAAATGTTAAGTTTGGTAGTGAAAGCTCTAAAAACTCGTGTCCCTTGCTTCTTCCCTAGACCTCTTACTTATATACTCCTCGCCTTGGCCATTCGGTCTTTCCATTTCCCCCAGATTTGAGTATATCAGGAATCTTCCATTTTTCTCGATCCTTCCTTTTCTTCCGCGGAAAGCTTCTATTTTTCTTCAAACCTGCCTTTTATCTTCAAGCTTGACATTTATTTTCCTCCTGCGGGTAAACCGTCAAAACGTTATCGTATCTTCGGGTTAGATTCCGTTAAGATCGCGAGATGCGCTTTTATCACGTTTTAGGACCTTCCGAGACGTTCTGCGATTAATCCATTTTCCGACTTTGTACGGGATCGTTTCCTGATCTGATGCCGTTTTTAGTAAATTCCTCGAGTTAATCGTAAGGTTTTACGATTTACTCGACGTTTTTATTAAAAACGCGTTTCTTACAATTATAACAAAAAATCTCGAATAAATCGTATAGTTTAGGCAATGTTCGGTGTTTCGTTTAACCGTTGCCGTTTTATACGGTTTCCTCGAGTTCTTTGTCGAAAAAGCGAAGTTTTACGGTTTTTATCGTAAAACTCGAACAATTGGTCGGATCGAGATGGAACGGGAGACATTTCGGCCGTGGTTCAGAATGCGACCGTGTCGAAAGACGTAAGTTTCAAATCGGGGATGCGGGAGATCGAGGCTCGGGACGTCCGGCTCGACGTACGGCGAGCTAGTTCAGCTTGGCA